CCCCCCCGCAGCGCGCCATCGCCTGCCCGCGCGGTGGGCGGGCGCAGGCGCCGCCTCGCCGCCCGCCGCGGGGGGTCGGCGGTCGTCCTCCCCCCCGGCCTGCCCCAGTCCCTCGTCATCCTCTAGGGGGGAGGACGGGCCGCAACGCGGCGACGTCCGACACCCCTGGTGCGGCAGCCGTAGGCCCAGCGGGGCGGTTGCTTGTCCACACCAGGGTGTCAAAGCGGCCCACGTGCCGGAGTAACTCCAGCAAGTCCGAATAAGCAAGTCCTCCTCCTTCCTTCCCTCCCTCCTCCTTCCTCCCTCCCTTCCTCCCTCCCTCGCTCCCCCTCCCTCCCTTCCTCACTCCCTCCCTCCTCCCTCCCTCCCTACCCCCTTCCTCATCCCTCCACCCTCCTCCTCCTCCTACCCCTCCTCCTCCTCTCCTCCTCCTCCTCCTCCTCCTTCCCTCCTCCTCCTCGCCTTCTCTCCACCTCTCCTCCTCCTTTTCCTCCTCATTCCTCTTCTCCTCCTCGCTCCTCGCTCCTCGCTCCTCGCTCCTCGCTCCTCGCTCCTCGCTCCCTCCCTCCTCGCTCCTCCTCCTCACTCCCTCCCTCTCTCCCTCGCCCCCTCCTCCCTCCCCCGATCCCTCCTCCCTCCCGGCCAGTCGCGGGGATGGCGCCCCCAGTCGGTCTCTGGGGGCCGCCCAGAGGGGGACCGTCCAAGGTTCAGTGCGCCCCGGGCCAGCCTCATCCCTCCCTCTCCCCCTCGCGGCGCCTCTGGCGCCACCCCTGGCGCGCTCCGCGGAGGAGGAGGAGGAGGAGGAGGAGGAGGAGGAGGAGGAGGAGGAGGAGGAGGAGGGGGAGGGAGGAGGACGAGGAGGAGGAGCAGGATGGAGGAGGAGGGGAACGCCACAGCCCTGCAGCTGAAGCTTCAGGGCTGCGGCGTTCCCCTCTTGCCGAGCAGCGGGAGGAAGAGAAGAAGAAGAGAGCCCTCGGTGATCACACCGACCGCCTGGTCCTCAGGCCGTCCTCGGTCAGGCCCTCGCCCCTTCCCCCCTGGCATCACTGCTGCTCGAGCGCGGAGCTCCCAGCGGCGCGAACCTGCGCGGCGCCGTCGTCGGCGCCTGCCAGAGGAGCCGCCACTGGCGCGCCGCCGCGCTATCGGCAGGGCTGGGCCGTCTGCCGCGCCGCGCCGCGCCGTCCGCCGCGCCGCGCCGCCCGGAGCGGAGCCTTCTTGCACTTCGCGGCTACTCCAAATCCCTTTATCAATCGACCCCCCCCTAAAAGACCGGACCCCCCTCCAGATGCGACCTAACATTCCAGACCCCCCTCTTCGACGGCGCGCCTCAATAAACCGGACCCCCTAAGCTCCGATCCAAAGAAAGCGCCCTAATAGACCGGACCCCCCCAGTTACAAAAAAAGGCGCCTTAAAAACCGGACCCGGGGGACGATTCATAAGGGATTTGGAATATATTCTGGCAGCCTGGGGGGCCATCGTGGAGCCTCTCGCGGTCATCCTGAGGCCTCGGAAGTCCTCTCGCCCTCTCTCGGAGGAGGAAAAGGTACCCCCATACTTCTACCCTTGCCTCGCTTTCCCCCTTTTCTGGTCTCCTCGGAGGCCCTCGTCGCCACCGCTGGAGTCGCTTCGGAATTCCGGTCAGAACGCACTCTGGGAGAGGTCTGGGGAGTAGCGGTATCGGTACCGGTACTTTTTGGTTGCCCCAATCTTCGGGAGTCTTGGGACTTTTGGGCCCGTTTGGGGGGCTTTGGGGGCATCTCCTGGCCTCGTTGGGCCATCCTGTGGTGATCTGGGCGGCATCTTGAGGCCTTTGGGGGCCACCTTGGGGCCGCTTCGGGCAATCTCGGGGGCTCTGTGGGGCTGTCTTGAAGCGATGTTGGAACATCTTGGGCGCAAAACGCGGGACTGTCAACAACATTGAAAATATCGTGGTTGTTGAGTGTGTGTTCGCCCCCTCGGGCGCGTCTTGGGGCCCTCCAGAACTGTCTTAGAGGCATTGTGAGGGGTCGTCGGCCGTCTTGTCCTGATGCCCTCTTCGGGGCCCCATGCGGCCGTCTTCGAGGCTTTTGGGGTTCTCTTGGCTGTCTGCTGCGGCACCTACAGGGGAGTCCTGGGGCAGCCTCGGGCGGCCAGGGGGCCGAGACGCCCCTGCAGTTCTGATGTTCCGACCTACTTCGGCCTTGACTGCCAGAAATAATCTCGAGCACCAAGAAAGTACCGAAGCTGCAGGGTTTTCACGTATCGGGCCCTGGGAGGCGATACTCGCTCCGCACCCTTTTGATGCTTGTCTGGGTGCTCGAGACTGGAGACAAGCACTGCGGACACAGGACAGACGAGACCTCACATCTCAGGCAATGGTGCCGGCGTGGGCCCCAAGCAGTGGGTCGTTGCACCCTCCCGGTGCGCACCATGCGTGGTGCAGTCCTTGGGATGCTGGTAGCTCTGACCGCATCCGCGCGTGGCCACCTCCAGTGTTCGCGCAAGCATCCTGCCCATACACCGATGTCGATGACGACGATGATGATACTGATGTTCAGGATGATGATGGTGATGGTGACGATGATGATGGTTATGATGAGTATGATGATGGGGGTGGTGCTGATGACGATGATGATGACGATGTTCATGACGACAGTAGGGGCGACGTCGGTGGCGAGTGGTGATGGTGATGAAGTTGATGTTGATGATAATGTCGGTGACACTGATAATGCTGACGATAACGATGATGAAGATGGAAAACCTGTGAGAATGATAAGGAATTGCGCGCCCGAAGAAGTTTGACGAAGGCGACGACATCGACGATGACGATGATCACGACGGTGGTGGTGACGACGACGATGGTGATGACGATGGCAATGATGATGTTGGTCATAGTGAGAATGATGGTGTTGGTGGGGGTGATGAGGAAGTGCGCGCTCGCAGAAATCAATAATTTCGGCGTTACGCTTTATTGAGAGCCGTGCGATGTTCGCGTGTGTTCGAACACCTCCCATTCGAAATGCTCAGACACCCAATGGTTTTGGAAGGATTGCGACATGTTCGCGCGCGCGGAGACCAACACGTGTGGCCCGCATGGTAAAATTGGCAGAGGTGGCGGGGGCGCGATGAGTGTTGACTATGCTCGACATGCATGCGCAAGTGGCCCGCGTGGTATCATTTGCAGAATGGCCATAGGCTTGTGGCTCTCTATGGTTGGAGCGAGCGCGCGCGCGCGCAAAGCACAGCCAATGTTCTCATTGAGAGCAGCTATGACCTTCTTGCGCTATGTTTTGAAGGGCTCCGAAGACCATTGGAGTCAGCGCGACGTGCGCGCGCAGAGACGCGCGCGTGCGGCCCTCACTGCACTATTTGGGAAGAGTTTGTGCAGAGCGCACTTGTTGGATCAAGGCGTGTGAACCACCTCCTCCTCCTCCTCCTCCTCCTCCTCCTCCAGGGATGATGGTGGTGTGGATGCCAGCTTGGCTGGGGCGAACCATCGCGCAGCACAGAAAACTGGCAGGGAACCAGATGGGGCCGCGAGCCCTGGCATCGGTGTGGGAGTAGGGGTCGATTTTTTGTAAGGAGGAGGGATATAGGTGG